ACATATATGGCCAATGTGCTCACAATTTAACTTTACACAAATGGTCTATGTGCTCACAATTGCACTCTATATTAACGATCAATGTGTTTGAAGCTTGTGTTCTCTGCTTATGGTGGATGTCTTTAGTTGAATCGGGTATGCGTTTTATTTTCACATGATAAAATAATTGCTGAGAATTGTGTAGTTTATTTGCCCTATATTGTGCTAACTGCATTGATGCATGGTTGGTTTATATTGGATAGATGTTATAGTTTGGATTGGAGGCTGTAGGCTTTATAGTTGTATTGTATAGTATTGGTGTGATAACTATACAGGGAGTGCAGAATTATTAGGCAAGTTGTATTTTTGAGGATTAATTTTATTATTGAACAACAACCATGTTCTCAATGAACCCAAAACTCATTAATATCAAAGCTGAATATTTTTGGAAGTAGTTTTTAGTTTGTTTTTAGTTTTAGCTATGTTAGGGGGATATCTGTGTGTGCAGGTGACTATTACTGTGCATAATTATTAGGCAACTTAACAAAAACAAATATATACCCATTTCAATTATTTATTATTACCAGTGAAACCAATATAACATCTCAACATTCACAAATATACATTTCTGACATTCAAAAACAAAACAAATCAGTGACCAATATAGCCACCTTTCTTTGCAAGGACACTCAAAAGCTTGCCATCCATGGATTCTGTCAGTGTTTTGATCTGTTCACCATCAACATTGCGTGCAGCAGCAACCACAGCCTCCCAGACACTGTTCAGAGAGGTGTACTGTTTTCCCTCCTTGTAAATCTCACATTTGATGATGGACCACAGGTTCTCAATGGGGTTAGATCAGGTGAACAAGGAGGCCATGTCATTAGATTTTCTTCTTTTATACCCTTTCTTGCCAGCCACGCTGTGGAGTACTTGGACGCGTGTGATGGAGCATTGTCCTGCATGAAAATCATGTTTTTCTTGAAGGATGCAGACTTCTTCTTGTACCACTGCTTGAAGAAGGTGTCTTCCAGGAACTGGCAGTAGGACTGGGAGTTGAGCTTGACTCCATCCTCAACCCGAAAAGGCCCTACAAGCTCATCTTTGATGATACCAGCCCAAACCAGTACTCCACCTCCACCTTGCTGGCGTCTGAGTCGGACTGGAGCTCTCTGCCCTTTACCAATCCAGCCACGGGCCCATCCATCTGGCCCATCAAGACTCACTCTCATTTCATCAGTCCATAAAACCTTAGAAAAATCAGTCTTGAGATATTTCTTGGCCCAGTCTTGACGTTTCAGCTTGTGTGTCTTGTTCAGTGGTGGTCGTCTTTCAGCCTTTCTTACCTTGGCCATGTCTCTGAGTATTGCACACCTTGTGCTTTTGGGCACTCCAGTGATGTTGCAGCTCTGAAATATGGCCAAACTGGTGGCAAGTGGCATCGTGGCAGCTGCACGCTTGACTTTTCTCAGTTCATGGGCAGTTATTTTGCGCCTTGGTTTTTCCACACGCTTCTTGCGACCCTGTTGACTATTTTGAATGAAACGCTTGATTGTTCGATGATCACGCTTCAGAAGCTTTGCAATTTTAAGAGTGCTGCATCCCTCTGCAAGATATCTCACTATTTTTGACTTTTCTGAGCCTGTCAAGTCCTTCTTTTGACCCATTTTGCCAAAGGAAAGGAAGTTGCCTAATAATTATGCACACCTGATATAGGGTGTTGATGTCATTAGACCACACCCCTTCTCATTACAGAGATGCACATCACCTAATATGCTTAATTGGTAGTAGGCTTCGAGCCTATACAGCTTGGAGTAAGACAACATGCATAAAGAGGATGATGTGGTCAAAATACTCATTTGCCTAATAATTCTGCACTCCCTGTATGTATGATTAGGCTGCTAAAGTTTTTTTTTTTTTGGTCTTGCTCTATTAATGTTATGGTGGGGTAAAATTCTTCCACCTGAAGTCTGTGGATAGTTAATACAATGTTAGACCAAAATCTGCACACCAGTCAAGCCATAAGACTTGCTATTCCCACATAAATCACAAATCTGCAGTGATGTTACTACCGCAAAGGAATCTTTTCCCAAGTTGTGTTTCAACGTTGTTGTATACAGCAAACACAGACACAAAGGAATCCATGTTTAAAATGGAATGAGGCAAAAATTAGATTCTTTGTTCAATTAATTTGCATATGCCCACCCAGAATTCTTTGCGATAGTAACATTACTGCAGATTTGTTATTTCTGTGGAAAAAGCAAGTCTTATGGCCAGGGCTAGATTAAGAGCCCAGTGGGCCTGGTGCTGACAATTATGATGGAGCCTAATTACAGAATTGTCACGGCCACCGGCTCGCCGCGAGGTGCAGTCGCACCGGACCAGTGTGACGGCGCCAACGTACTGAGCTTACCTGCTCAGCGGCGAGTCGGGAGCCGCTCTGCTGGGTTCTCCTGGCTGCCTGCCTGGGTTCAAGATGGTGCCGAACATGCGGTCGCAGTCAGATATAGCTCTGCCCCCCAGGGTTACACACACACACACACGTTCTGCAGTCAGAGGCCAGAGCGATATTTAACCTAGGTTATTGCCCTGTCGTGGTTTTCGTTCCTGGTTCCTGAATCCTGAGAGTGTGTTTTCTTGTCCTGTTTTTGATATTCCCAGTATTTTGACCTTGGCTATGCCTGACTATTCTGATTCCTGGCTTCCCTGACTTGGCTTGTAAAATGGTATTGTATATTTCTGGCTCCCTTGAACATTCTCTGTTTTTAACGTATTAGTCCGGCCATTCTTAGGACCGTTTTATCATTTTCTGTTCTGTCTATGTAGATGTTACATAGTTCTGCATGCTGGACCACACTAGCAGTCATGACAAAAATCTTATCGACCATAGACACTAAAACAGTCATACCTCTCAAGCATCAAGTATCTAATGGAGATGGTGTTGGTGGGAAACTCAAAGGATGCAGCTTTAAGAAAACACATACTCTATGCTAATCTCTCTCTAATGTATGCTTTAATCTTTCAAGTAAATCCACACCCCCTAACAGCAGTGTCCAGTGAAGCAGGAAGTCAATGGGGCACTGGGAGAAATGGGGACACAGACACTAGGGAAACAGAGACACAGACACTGGTAGACATGGGGACACTAAGACACTAGGGACACTGAGAGACATGGGGATACTGAGACACTAGGGACACTGGCTGGGAGGCATGGAGACACTTGGGGACACTGGGAGACATTGGGACATTTGGGGACACTAGGGACACTGAGAGACATGGGACACAGACACACTGGGAGACATGGGGACACTGGGAGACATGGGGACACTGAGACACTAGGGGGACTGGCTGGGAGACATGTGGACACTGGGAGACATGGGGACACAGATATTTGGGGACACTGGGACACAGACACTAGGGGGACTGGCTGGGAGACATGTGGACACTGGGAGACATGGGGACACAGATATTTGGGGACACTGGGAGACATGGGGACACTGAGACACTAAGGACACTGAGAGACATGGGGATATAGACACTGGGAGACTAGGGGACACTGAGACAATAGGGACACTGGCTTGGAGGCATGGGAACACTGTGTCCCATGTGTCTCTGTGTCTCAGTGTGTCTCCCAATGTCCCCATGTGTCTCAGCATCCCCATAGCTCACAGTGTCCCCTAGTGTCTCAGTGTCCCCATGTCTCCTTGCTGCCTTTCCCCCCACTTACCTGAGCTGTAGGCTGTCTCTGTAAGCTGGAGGCTGCTGTCTGGACTCTCTGTGCTGTGTGGCTGCTCCCCTGCGGATCAGTGAGTAGAGAGAGGCAGGGAGGGATATGCTGTAACTTCCTATGCCTGCCTCTCTCCATACACAGTGACCCCTACTGGTTAGTGCTGGTATTACAGAGTAATCTCTGTTTATACTGAGAAACATACCTGCATTTGTATTGCCGGAATTACTGCAATACCGGCATGGCCAGGCAGCCTCAAATACTGGTAAAATACCAGTCGGGTGGCAAACCTAAGAGTAGTGTGTGTAAAAAAAAAAAAAAAGGAAAACAATTTTTTTTATGGTATTTTTTTTTAAATGGGCCTATTCCATGGGCCTGGGCCTGGAGCTGCAGCTCCATCAGCCCCTATGTTAATCAGGCCCTGCTTATGGCTCGACTTGTGTGCATATTTTGGTTTAACATTGTATTAACTATTTTTATTTAGAAAGGGTACACTTTATTATTGTATTTTTATTTTTACCCACTAGAGGGTGTGCTTGTTTGTCTTTTAACCTGCACAGGACATTAAATAGAATCACATCAATGCTACTTCAAAATTTGTTCAAACGTGATTATGATTGTTGTACATTATTTCATGCTGGAGAAAAAGTTTAGCCTTCTTATTTAACAGTATACAATATGTATTCCTAAATAAATAACTAATTGATTATTGCACTGGCAGTTTACATTTGCAATACCAGTATTAATGGAAAGAGTAATATGGATATTTTTGGGGCATTAAAATGGCAAAAAAAAATCCAACATGTTTTCCTTGAATTTAGATAAAACAAAACTTGCTAGAATTGAGAGATGAGCTTAACAGATGGGGTAGTTTTGAATTGTCATGTTAGGCCGAATAGCTGCCTTGAAAATTAACATTTTTATATTTAATAAGAACTATTCCACTAAATATTCCCTACACTTTCTTTATAAAGATCAATTCTAACATAGCTACATTTCTCTGGAAAAAAAACCCAAAAAACTTAACACACCACAAAAAAATAAAAGATATAGAGGACTGCATGTTCCTAATTTCAAAGATTATTATCTAGCCACTAACACAGCATCTGTACTCAAATTCAACTTAGACTCTAACATGCCTAAATAATTAACAATAGAAATGGAAAACCTATTACCCCACCCTGTTACGGACATTTTGTGGCTACCTAAATCTAACCAACTCAATTGTTTTCCTACAACTAAATTTACCATAACAGCATGGAATAATTTAGACATGTGCAATTCGTTTCGGTCCGAATGTGAATTCGGACGAATTTCGGGCAATTCGGACATTCGGGTACTTCCGAATGTCCAAATAGATGAATTGGTGCCCCCGCTGACACCAACAACAATTTGGAATGCAAATATCTTCTATATACAGGCACTCTCACCGGTCACCATTGAACATAGTAACAGTCGAATCCTCGCAATACCCACCCTGACCACCCACTAGGAGAAGTGATAGAACCACCACAGCACCAGAGGGGCACAAATATAGCCCCAACACAGGGATCTATGAGCAACAGAACTAATGTGACAACAAATTATATTGCTCGCCCACACAAAATGCCACAACTGTCTTGCACAGCCTTCAAACCCAAACCCCACCCACCACAACCACCTAATAGGGTAAAATGAAAAAACACAAGAGCAGAGGTCTAACATCACAGACACGACATAGGTCTCAAGGGGCACAAATACCTATGCTAATGTAACTATATTGCACGCTCTAATACAATGTTATTAATGTTTAGTTCAGCAATCAAACCCAAGCCCCATACACCTGCACTACCCAAAGGGGCAAACAACCCGGTCACAGGAACGACAGAAATCTGAAGTACAAACCCCATATGGGGACCGCGGGACGTCAATATCAATACCAATACCTATATACCGGAAAATGTTTTGCATGTTATTATAAAATGTTTTCCAATACCTTAGGCAGAAGCCGAAAGCACGATTTATCCACCCAGAACACCCACTGGAATACAGACAAGGACAACACAGGCTACGAACGGCACCTAACAGCACAGACAGACAGGACAACAACACTGAACATTGAGTGCAACACCACATCCAGCGCCGGGGAGAGAGGAGTAACAGGAACGTGAAAACTCTTCCTCCTCTTCCCCACCCCCCAGCTCCCGGGGCACCCGGGAGACACAAACTACACAAAAGACCCAAGGTGTAACCAACACCACCTCCCACCATAACTGGCAACTATCACATAAGACCAAGGAAGACACCCCACGACCCAATCACCCGAACTCCATAACCCTCCCCCACTCGCCCAACCCCCCACCCCTCCCAATCCAAGACCTTACCCCCTAGGAGTGGACGGGAGCCTCAGGATCCCCCTCGCCCCGGTGCCCACATCCAACCCAGAGCACACCCACTACAACGAAAACGCTACAATGTGACGAGACCAATCTCGCCACATTGCATTGGAGAAGCCTGGTTGCTCGCCTGCTGCCTTTGGACTATGGCCCCCTTTTAAAAGACTTTATTTTTCCATGCAGAAAAGCCATATTCATGCTTTTCTGCCGGTTGTTCGATAGTTTCAATCTACCGAACAACCGTACGAATGACTGGACCACCTGGGAGCTGGAGTGTGCCGGCAATTAACCTCCCTGAAGCTGCGGTTAACCGCAGCTTAATTGATGAACGCTGGGTGGCCGCCGTTCGTATCACGAACACGAGGTCGCGGCCATTTTAAACCATACGAATGAACAGCGGTGTTCGCCTCTATTTTTCATGGAACTAAAATCGGACACAGTTTTGTGCGAACACCGCTGAAGTCGACGACCTCCCTTCTTGTTCGGTGGAAGTACACGAATGACCCGGTGTTCGGTATTTTTGTGTGAATGTCTTATACCCCAGATAGGAATCCCATGGAGCCCATTCGTATGAAACTGACTGTAAAGACTTTGGCTCCATGGCGATTGAACTGCATTCGTGTAGTCTGAGTGCCATTCACCTAATAATGTGCACTCAGACCTGAGCTATCTGGGGATGTGTTACATGCCTGTGTTTAATGTAGTAAATGTTACTCTATGTATTTTAAAGTATAATGCTGTTTTGTGTTCCCACGTGTGTAATGGAGTTTTGCCTTTGTCTTGGGAGATAATTGAGTTACTTCCCAATTATCTCCCAGGGCAGAGGGGAGGAAGCAAGGATGCATTGTGGGAATATACTGTGACTGTGTGTCCTATTTGTATACTTGTCTGTCCCTTGTCACAGTCTCCCATTTGGTCCCCTAGGGGAGTGTCCACCAGGTGGGAGACCTGCATAAAAGCCAGGCAGGTAGCCCTCATTAAACAGACCACTGCTTGACCCTCAACACGGAGCTCTGTCTCGTCTTTGGGGGATTTACTGTATGCTGCTAAGGACTGATTGCCAGGAGTGTAAGCCGCTTGGGAGCTTTTCCTGTTCGTCTGGTAGCAGCAATTCGTATGGTTCCTGTTCGTGTATTTGGAGTGCTACCTTATTCCCTTGTATGCCGTTCGGGAGTTTGGAGCATTCACTTATTGGCGGTTCGTGAGTTTTGGTGATTATTCAGTAGCTGTGCCTGTCTCTGAAAGGGGGATTATCGTCTAAGCGGTTTTTTCCCCTTTTGTGCAAAACGGTCCGTTACAATTGGTGGCAAGCGGCGGGATCGTTCCCACGGACTACAGGACAGCTACAGGAGACACCATTTCTTTGGATTTACAATTTGAGGGCAACGCATGTCTGAGTACAGCGACCCTGACAGCACCAGGATGGAACCAGCAGTGGAGTACAGATACTCTATGAGAGAGTATGACTGTATGATGTGGTTGCGGCTGAACTTCTTTGGACCCAATCCAGCTGAGAAACACGTGCAGTCCATGAGGAACCTAGTGTTCATGAATCTGCAACACCGGGCAGAAAGAGAAGGTCAGCTGGCACGTTGGGAAGAACTCCAGCGACAGATATTGCAGGGAATTGGGAGCCCAGTCTCCATTCCCCAGCGGGAGAGTGAATTGCAGGGAATTGGGAGCCCAGTCTCCATTCCCCAGTGGGAGAAATTGCAGGGAATTGGGAGCCCGAGCTCCATTCCCCAGCGGGAGATATTGCAGGGAATTGGGAGCCCGAGCTCCATTCCCCAGCGGGAGATATTGCAGGGAATTGGGAGCCCAGTCTCCATTCCCCAGCAGTAGAATAAATGAATTGCAGGGAATTGGGAGCCCAGTCTCCATTCCCCAGCAGCAGAGTGATATGCAAGGAATTGGGAGCCCAGTCTCCATTCCCCAGCGGCAGTGTAATTTTTTGGGGAATTGGGAGCCCAGTTTCCATTCCCCAGCGGCAGGCTGAGTTACAGGGGAAAGAGATAGTTGCTCCTGTCCCCAGCAGCAGAGTGAATTGCAGGGAATTGGGAGCCCAGTCTCCATTCCCCAGCAGGAGATACAGCAGGGAATTGGGAGCCCAGTCTCCATTCCCCAGCGGGAGATACAGCAGGGAATTGGGAGCTCAGTCTCCATTCCCCAGCGGCATTGGAGTTACAGGGGGCAGAGGTAGTTGTTCCTGCCCCCAGCAGCCAAGTGATATGCCGGGAAGGCAGTGTGAAGTCCAGGGAGAGGAGAGCAGTGTCCTCCCTCCCCAGCGGCAGCGTGATTTTTTGGGAATTGGGAGCCCAGTCTCCATTCCCCAGCGGCAGTATGATGCTTTGGGAATTGGGAGCCCAGTCTCCATTCCCCAGCGGCAGAGTGTCCTACCGGGAATAGAGAGCCCAGTCTCCTTTCCCCAGCGGCAGGACTCTGTATTGGGAGCAGAGACAGTCGGTCTCCCTCCCCCGCAGCTGGAAGTATGTATGGGAGAGGAGCTTGTTACCCCCTCTCCCCAGCGGCAGCTTAATGTACAAAGGGGAGACAGTAAGCCCCACAACGGTGCAGATGGGACCGTGGTCTCTACACTGCCAGCACAGGGGGTAGGGACGGTCGGTCCTGCCCCCCAGCGACAGGGCTGTTTAGCCAAAGGGGAGACAGTCGGTCTCCCCCTCCAGCAGCAGAGATGGGTAACCAAAGGGGAGACGGTCGGTCCCCAGCAGCAGGACTGTGCATCTAAAGGGGAGACAGTCGGTCTCCAGCAGCAGCAGCAGCAGAGCGGTGTATTTAAAGGGGAGACAGTCGGTCTCCCCCTCCAACAACCAGGCTTCCACCAGGCTACCCTCCCAGTAGCGCTGGCAACAGGGCAGAGTGCAGCTGGTCTCTGCCCACGCAGCAACCCACCAAGTCAGCGTACCCGTACCCAGCACAGCCGTGGTGAGGCACCTGGACATGGACAAGCTTCTTCTCTACCCAGGTGCAGTAACCATTTATTGTGGGTGGGCTGTGCTGTGGATTATTTGTTGTGGGTGGGCTGCTGGACTAACAAGGGCACTGACCGGCAGGAGGTCAGATACCCTGTTAGTCTGTTTGGAAAAGGGGAGAGATGTGACGAGACCAATCTAGCCACATTGCATTGGAGAAGCCTGGTTGCTCGCCTGCTGCCTTTGGACTATGGCCCCCTTTTAAAAGACTTTATTTTTGCATGCAGAAAAGCTGTATTCGTGCTTTTCTGCCGGTTGTTCGGTAGTTCAATCTACCGAACAACCGTACGAATGACTGGACCACCTGGGAGCTGGAGTGTGCCGGCAATTAACCTCCCTGAAGCTGCGGTTAACCGCAGCTTAATTGATGAACGCTGGGTGGCCGCCATTCGTATCCCGAACACGAGGTCGCGGCCATTTTAAACCATACGAATGAACAGCGGTGTTCGCCTCTATTTTCATGGAACTAAAATCGGACACAGTTTTGCGCGAACACCGCTGAAGCCGCCGACCTCCCTTCTTGTTCGGTGAAAGCACACGAATGACCCGGTGTTCGGTATTTTTGTGTGAATGTCTTATACCCCAGATAGGAATCCCATGGAGCCCATTCGTATGAAACTGACTGTAAAGACTTTGGCTCCATGGCGATTGAACTGTATTCGTGTAGTCTGAGTGCCATTCACCTAATAATGTGCACTCAGACCTGAGCTATCTGGGGATGTGTTACATGCCTGTGTTTAATGTAGTAAATGTTACTTTGTGCATTTTAAAGTATAATGCTGTTTTGTGTTCCCACGTGTGTAATGGAGTTTTGCCTTTGTCTTGGGAGATAATTGAGTTACTTCCCAATTATCTCCCAGGGCAGAGGGGAGGAAGCCAGGATGCATTGTGGGAATATACTGTGACTGTGTGTCCTATTTGTATACTTGTCTGTCCCTTGTCACAGTCTCCCATTTGGTCCCCTAGGGGAGTGTCCACCAGGTGGGAGACCTGCATAAAGCCGGGCAGGTAGCCCTCATTAAACAGACCACTGCTTGACCCTCAACACGGAGCCTTGTCTCGTCTTTGGGGGGATTTACTGTATGCTGCTAAGGACTGATTGCCAGGAGTGTAAGCCGCTTGGAAGCTTTTCCTGTT